GACCTTCATGTTCTGTATAATGTGATATTACATTGGGAGGTACGTTTATGCATCAGGATATAGGGTAATCCTTTTCACTCCCTTTTTTGGAAAATATGCAATTGTATTTACAAATTAACTTGATTGCACCAGCATTGTCTGATATTTGGTTGTTTCCTATATTGCATATGCTTAATACAAACTTTCTATGCTCATTCAGTTCTTAAAAATTGATTCTCCTCACTGCCTACAACCTTTACACCAACTATTGAAACAACTCAAAAAAAATTCTTCAGCATCATCTGTAGGTAATTTTTATTTTTACTAATCCTAATTAGTGTTTTGTTGTCTAATTGTCTTCTGAATTCCTTTCAAAAGTATGTATTATGAACCATATACATGTCAAAATAATTATGCTTGAATTATCTGTAGTAATGTTGTAATTTATCTCTCAATTTAAGAAGAGCATCTTCTGGGACCCCAATTACTAAAACATTCTCCTTCTCTGTGAGAGTTTAGTGGTTCTCAGATTGGTCACAGGATGGAGCTGTTTGTGGTGATGAAAATAGGAAGCTGTAAAAGTGCATTTCCTGCAGTACAGTTTGAAGCAGCTTTGACTCTCTCACCGTGTTTATTGTTTTTGCCCAGTTGCACTTCTGGAATTGAAACAAATGATTAAAATGGACATAACACTGTATCCAAAGGATGGGATTTCATGAATTTTCTCAAATCTTGGCAGATAACTGAGTCCTGTGAGATTCCAAGCACCTTTTGTAGATTAAATGCCATCAGTACAGTAATTCATAATTGTAGTTTAACAGTGCCATAGACTGCCGAGAAACAATCATCGAAGTCAAATCACTCTCATTTGCTTCAGATAAAATGTGAGCCTCTAGCAATGTATGCTGTCTTCATTTCTTGTACTGCAACTGGATTTTTGTATAATGTAGCACATTCCAAACAAGTGGGCGAGTGTTAATATTGACAGTAACCTATATCTAGATATAGTGGTGTTTATAAATTTGCATGTTATATGTGTAGCCAGATATGACATTATTAACATTTTAACAGTACTCAATTTGCAGCGTGTTTATTATAAATGCTTGTCAAAACTGTAGGAGAGTCAGGTATAGCAACACCAGGTACAAACTGAAGCTCCCAGTACTTTACCATGTTTCAATAACTTTGAGTCATATTCCTAGATCATGGACAATTTTGTATTATCCACCCACTTCTCCTCAACCCTGATTTGAAACAGCCTGTTACAAAATAGAGACTACATTTCAGATGGGGGAGGTGATGGCCTAGTGGTATTTTCGCTGGACTGTTAATCCAGAGACCCAGATAATGTTCTGGAGACCCGGATTCAAATCCTGCCATGGCAGATGGTGAAATTTGAATTCAATAAAATATCTGGAATTAAGAATCTGATGATAACCATGAATCCATGGTCGATTGTCAGAAAAACCCACCTGGTTCACTAATGTCCTTTAGGGAAGGAAATTACCATCTTTACCCGGTCTTGCCTACATGTGACTCCAGGCTCACAGCAATGTGGTTGACTCTTAACGGCCCTCTGGGCAATTAGAGATGGGCAATAAATGCTGCCTGGCCAGTGATGCCCTCATCCCCTGAATGAATAAAGGAGATGGAGTCCGTGTAACTTTTATCTAGTTAATCTTGATTTACTTCACACCTGGACTGCAGAGTGGCCCATATGTCATATGTGTGCACCATACAAGGTGTTTTATTCTTTCCCCTATGAGTATTCCCCACTTCACTTTTCCTGAAAGTACTTACTTGTTGCAGGGGTTTGGTTTTTGTGGGAATTAGTTACCCAATTGTATCACACATAAATGTCAGTTCCTAATATGTTGATCCTAGACATTGAATGTCAACGGCATATTCCTACATGCGGACATCACAGATGTGTACAATTCAATCACCTAGCAAGGAGGGACTCTTGTGGTGCAGTGGTAGTGTCCCTACCTCTTAGCCATGAAGCCCAAGTTCAAGACCTACCTGCTACAGAAGTGTGAAAAACCTCTGCCAGATCGATTAGAAAATAAATACATTCAGCAAGGCAATTGGGTCATTCAAAGGGAGGAACTTTGCCAAATTTTCCCTTTCTTCCCTGGTCCTGAAGCTAACTTCCATGGCAGCTTCTCCCACAGCCTGACTTGAGGCCACTGGTTTATATCAGTTTGAACCTGGGAATTTCCTAGTTTGTATGGCTCAGCTATTCCTACACAATAAGGGTGGTGAACACAAAATATATATACCTCAAATAATCTAAAATTAAACCATTTCTAAATATAATATAAATTGTACACGATGGCTCAGTGGTTACTTCTGCTGCATCACAGGGCCAGGGATCTGGGTTCGATTCCACCGTCGGGCAACTGTCTATGTGGAGTTTGCACGTCTTCCCGTGTCTGCGTGGGTTTCCTCTGGGTGCTGTAGTTTCCTCCCACAGTCCAAAGATGTGCAGGGTAGGTGGATTGGCCATGCTAAATTGCTCAATATCCAGGCATGGGTGGATTAGCCATGAGAAAATCAAGGTTATGGGGATTGGGTAGAGGCGTGGGTCTGGGTGGGATACTCTTTGGAGAGTCAGTGTGGACTTGATGGGCTGAATGGCCTGCTTCCATGCTGTAGGAATTCTATGATTTAATACAGTGCTGCAGACCAGATTAAATATGAAAAGAATTTACTGAACAGATATTTACAGCCATTTTGTTAAGGGGAACATTTAGTGTATACAGGACTGAAAATATCTTTAATGTTTCAATTTCAAAACCGAAGACTTATTCATTTATTGATATTGAATTAAATCTGTACTATTTGTTCTTTGTTTTCAAATACTTCTTAAAAACCACAAGGTAACAAAAATGTTATTTTTATTAGAGATACAGTGAGGGAATGTTTGATCTGTTTACTTATGCTTAAAACTGTCAGGTATGTCAAAGTGAAGAGTGAATCTATTGTCTTATTGCTAGAAAGAAAAATGTGTTACCAAAGCTTCTCATCTTGTACTCATCAGGACAAATGCAAGAATGCCAAATTTCAAATGACCACAATAATTTATACTACAGGAGAAAAGGGTGCTGATTTGTTGTTAAATCGACTCACATTGACCAAGATGTTGCCATGGCTGATCAATATCTGATTGCCAACCAATCAACACACTTTTCTCCTGTAGTATAAATTGTTGTGATCATTTGAAATTTTGCATCCTTGCATTTGTACTAAGTACAATATGATTTTCCCTTTAGTAATGTTCAAGTGATTGTAGCATTATTCATTACTATTCTCAAACTAAAATACACTCATCCCTTTTGTAATTTAATTTCTCCTGCCTTCCACCCTATCCTCAACCTTTTCTCACACTTACCTCTTCTCCCCTTTTCATTGCCTTTCTCTGTACTTTCTACTTGACTAAAGCCAGGTATGTTTCTAATGTTTTCTATAAGGGTTAAGAAGGGTAGCAAGGATAATCCAGGTAATTATAGACCGGTGAGCCTGACGTCACTGGTGGGGAAGCTGCTGGAGAAGATACTGAGGGATAGGATCTATTTACATTTGGAAGAAAATGGGTTATTAGTGATAGGCAACATGGTTTTGTGCAGGGAAGGTCATGTCTTACCAAATTGATAGAATTCTTTGAGGAAGTGACAAAGTTGATAGATGAGGGAAGGGCTGTAGATGTCATATACATGGACTTCAGTAAGGCATTTGATAAGGTTCCCCATGGTAGGCTGTTGGAGAAAGTGAAGTCGCATGGGGTCCAGGGTGTACTAGCTAGATGGATAGAGAACTGGCTGAGCAACAGGATACAGAGAGATGTAGTGGAAGGGAGTTTCTCAAAATGGAGAACTGTGACCAGTGTTGTTCCACAGGGATCCATGTTGGGACCACTGTTGTTTGTGATATACATAAATGATCTGGAGGAAGGTATAGATGGTCTGATTAGCAAGTTTGTAGATGACACTAAGATTGGTGGAATAGCAGATAGTGAAGGGGACTGTCGGAGAATGCAGCAGAATATAGATAGATTGGAGAGTTGGGCGGGGAAATGGCAGATAGAGTTTAATCCAGGCAAATGCGAGGTAATGCATTTTGGAAGATCCAATTCAAGATCAAACCATACGATAAATGGAAAAACCCTGGGGAAAATTGATGCACAGAGAGATCTGGATGTTCAGGTCCATTGTACCCTGAAGGTGGCAATGCAGGTCGATAGAGTGGTCAAGAAGGCATATGGCATACTTTCATTCATCGGACAAGGTATTGAGTACAAGAGTCAGCAGGTCATGTTACAGTTGTATAGGACTTTGGTTTGACCACATTTGGAATACTGCGTACAGTTCTGGTCGCCACATTACCAAAAAGATGTGGATGCTTTGAAGAGGGTGCAGAGGAGGTTCACCAGGATGTTGCCTGGTATGGAGGGCACTAGCTATGAAGAGAGGTTGAGTAGATTAGGATTATTTACATTAGAAAGACAGAGGTTGAGGGGGGACCTGATTGAGGTCTACAAAATCATGAGAGGTATAGACATGGTGGATAGCAAGAAGCTTTTTCCCAGAGTGGGGGACTCAATTACTAGGGGTCACGATTTCAAGGTGAGAGGGGAAAAGTTTAGGGGAGATATGCGTGGGAAGTTCTTTACGCAGAGGGTGGTGGGTGCCTGGAACGAGTTGCCAGCGGAGGTGGTAGAGGCAGGCACGATAGCATCATTTAAGATGTATCCAGACAGATACATGAATGGGCAGGGAGCAGAGGGATACAGATCCTTGGAAAATAGGCGACAGGTTTAGATAGAGGATCTGGATCGGCGCAGGCTTGGAGGGCCGAAGGGCCTGTTCCTGTGCTGTAATTTTCTTTGTTCTTTGTTCTATAAATCTGAAACATTACTTTGGTTTCATTCTCAACAGATGCTATCTGATCTTCTGAATATTTTCAGTTTCTATTTGTGCTAAACTTTAACCCTAAACTTTATTTTTTTCTGTTATTTACAGAAACTCTGGACTGCTTACATGGAGGAGACCCTTTGATAGGAGAGAGGGCAGAACTGCCTTCTGCCTCAGTTAAGAACAGGAATCTTTCTTCAGGATCAGGCAGCTGCAGTAGCAACAATTCATTGCAGTTTGGTGCACAGAACAATCCTACTGACAGGTAAGAAACATGACTACAGTATAGCAAGTAATGCCAGTCCACCCATCCACTTTTCCAATTTTTAGAAAAATAAAAGAAACTAAAGCTGCAGCTTGTCCAGGGTATGTTGGTGATTTATTTGTGGAGTGCACAGAATATTTCTATCTCTGTTAGCTATCCATGTCATGGATGATTCGTTCTTGCAGATGGCTGGGTAGAAATGAGATATCAGTTTTGACTGTAGGTTTGTAGATTGCCTATAATCCCTCTGAGAGTCTTACAGGCTACCCCACAGTGAGGACATTAGACGTTACCAGCTGTTAGAGATGGTGGGGAATCTGTTGACTCGAGTAGTTTCCTTCTTTCCCCATCTCTCACCGTTCTCTCTGGCTGTAAATTGGCTGGGAGAGGGGTGTCCTTGCGCACCAGTCGCTGAAGGTAAGCATGCAGGTGCAGCAAGCGGTAAAGAAGGCAAATGGTACGTTGGCCTTCATTGCGAGAGGTTTCGAGTACAGGAGCAGGGATGTGTTGTTGCAGTTGTACAGGGCCTTGGTGAGACCACACCTAGAATATTGTGTAGAGTTTTGGTCTCCTTTTCTGAGGAAGGATGCTCTTGCTCTCAAGGGAGTGCAGTGAAGGTTTACCAGGCTGATTCCAGGGATGGCAGGTCTGACATATGAGGAGAGATTGACTGACTAGGTTTGGATTGTTTTCGCCAGAATTCAGATGAATGAAGGGGGATCTCATCGAGACTTATAAAATTGAAACAGGATTGGACAGGGTAGATACAGGGAGGATGTTCCCGATGATGGGTGTGTCCAGAACCAGGGGTCACAGTATGAGGATTCGGGGTAGACGATTTAGGATGGAGATGAGGAGACATTTCTTCACCAGAAGAGTGGTGAGCCTGTGGAATTCATTACAACAGGAAGTAGTTGATGCCAAAACATTGAATGTATTCAAGAGGCGACTAGATAGAGCATTTGGGGCCAATTGGATCAAAGGTTATGGGGAGAAAGCAGGATTAGGCTATTGTCCAACTCAATCAGCTATGATCGTGAAGAATGGCGGAGCAGGCTTGAAGGGCCCAATGGCCACCTCCTGCTCCTATCTTCTATGTTTCTATGTTAGTCTGCTCTTGTTGGTTGGAAAGTCTTGACAGTCCTTTTGATGATAATTTGCCATTTTGGTTGTGATTGGGCATCTGCCTCCCACGTAAATTAAGAGAGTGGACCTTCATGGAAATTTTGTGATCAGTTTTGAAATGACCCTTTGGTCCCCATGTGAACTGGCTCCCTGACCCAGCTCTGAGAGGAGGGCATTCTTGTAACTGGTATTCTGCTCCATCTCCGCTAAAGAGTGATTATCATATCCTCTTTACTTAGCATGTCTGTGTCTTGTAGAATGCTCATCTTTGCTCTTTTGTCCTCCCACTTGATTTGAAAGGTCCTTCTGAAGCAACACTGATGATGTTGTTCTAGGACTTGGAAATGGAATCTATAAAATATCTAAGCTTCAGCACCATGGAGGAGTCTGGGAGGACCACTGCCTGAAACCTTTGGGGTTAGTGTCTGGTCTGATTCTCAAACTTCTTCAAGTACATGATTCACCTTAGGCTCAGTTAGTACCTTGGATTTAGTGGTGTATCTCTACATTCATATCAGTTTTTAGTGATTGGCAGTTTCGAAGATATGGGAAGTGAGGAACATTTTCCAACACTACTTCATGAATCCCAATTGAAGGCATTGTGGTGTGAGTTGGTTCAGGGCTTTCATTTTCCAGCGTTCAGGCTAAGTCTCGTGCTCTCATAGATTTCAGCAAATATAGGAATTTTGTTATAGTTCTTTCTTAAAGTGAGCACCAACAGATGCATCATCCTCAACCTATTGCAGAAGTGGTTGGTGACCTGGTCCTTCAACCAGTTGAGGTGGAAAAAATTTCTTTCATTGCAATAAGTTATTACCACACCTGAGGAGAACCTGTCAGTAGGGAGTTGCATCATTGCTATAAAGAAGATAGAGAACAATGTTGGTGTATTGACACAAGCTATTTGATACACAAATGACACATAGAACAGGCTCAAGGGGCTGAATGGCCTAGTCCTGTTCCTATGATGCCAGTTTTAACTGGGAAGCGATCTGTGATGGAGCCATTGTACAGTATTGTTATTTACGTATTATCTTGTAGGAACAGATGATATTTGTAAACTTAGGCGTCCATATTGCTGTGGCATCTTCCAAAGGATTGTTTGATTCATTTAATCAGAAACTTTTGTGAAAAGAAAACAAAACTATGTACGAAGAAATGTTCAGTAGTCTGTATTTTTCCTGACATTGGTCTGCCAATGTATTCTTCTAAGCTATTCTCTCTGTAGTGTTTGAGATAACAAGCTGTACAGCTGGATGAACACAGCAGCCCAGGTAGCATCAGAGGAGCAGGAAAGCTGACGTTTCAGGTCTGGACCCTTCTTCAGTCTAGTGTCTCCTCTAGCATTTATCTAGTTTCCATGTGAATGCATCCATGCTCTTTGTCTCAATTTAAAGTGAAAGTTATTGGCTATTTTAGCCCGAAGTAATCTCCTGACACACACTGCTCCACTTGTTGGGCCTTCCATCCCTGTGTATCACTGTCAGTTGATGCACTGGCTTCCTATAGTTCCATGGGCTATAATATTGGCCTTATCGTCTATCTTGTAAATAGGGTTGGAGCTATTTGCTCACCATACAAGCTTGATGCTGAAATAGGATGTATCATAGACGTCCTGCAGGATAATGGCTACCCTGATCAGATCACTGCCCACTGTATATCATGCAAACCCATGAATGGGCCAAGGCTGCCAGCAATTTCAGGGTTCTGAAATGTGTTCGGTTTACCTCCAATCATTTTTGAAGGGTAAAGTGTCTCAAAAATGTGAACAACAGGCAAAGCTAGTCATTTCGCTTTGCTACTTTGCAGTCGCAACACAAGTGACGTAATTCTGCGATCAATCAGCCCATGCTGGTAAAATTCAGAACATAGTGACCAACATTAGAGGTGATTCCTTGCTTGGCAAACACTTGCTAACCAATTCTAATTGTGTTAAGGATTCACTTGCCCACCAATAAGTGCCCTCTTCCCATTCTGAATACAAACTTTGTTCCTTTTGAGGGAAGGTATACTTGTGTTGCTATCCTGATGAGTGCAGGATGAAAATCTTCGACAATTGTCCCTATTTCAGCAATACCTAAGACCTGTACAATTAAGTTACAATTTGAATAGAAAAAGTTCAAAAGTCTTCTCAGCATGTAGAGTTGACCTGTTTAAACCCAATATAATCAGTTCGTAAAGAATCCTTTATGACACAAAAATGCTCAGTCAAACAATTCAGGATTCTACATATTCTTAAAGTGACTGATAGCCAATGAACAGTTAAAATACATTCAGAATCAAAAGCTGCTTTGCAGGATGGTTTAATATTAATGCTGTGAATGATAAGTCTCCGATGAACTGGACACATTTCAATTCAGAATGAAGAGTATGTAGTTTAACTGCTGTGCCAATGATGGTGTTTCCTTTCTATACCTGTCAATCAAGATCTTCCTGAGGCTAGTATTCAAAAACATCTGAGTTTTTTTTGCCACTGCCTAAAATGTAAATGATTGCATTTTTTTACAAGGATCACTCACTTGTTCAGAAATAGAGGTTAATTAAAGCCTGGCTTGGACATCATAGTATCAATTCCAGACAGGTAATGGCTTATTTTAGGCATTTCCATAAGAACAATGCCACAAATCCAGATTGAAAGTGCAAAATGCTAGCTACATGCTTTGTCTGACAGCATCTAAAGGAAAGCAAATTCACCTGGGTCTGAAACCAGCACTGCATATTGGTCATGTTGTCAAAGTAGCCCAATTTTAATTGAAATTTATTTTTTTACTCATTTGTGGATGTGGGTGTTGCTGGCTGGGCCAGTATTTATTGCCCGTCCCTGCTTGCCCTTGAAAAGGTGGTGGTGAGCTGCCTTCTTGAACCGCTGCAGTCTACCTGCTGTGGGTTGACCCAAAATGCCATCAATTAGAATTAAGCTGTTGCCACAATGGCTGGTAACTTTGCAATAATGGGTTTACACCCAGGCAGAGTTAAAAATCTATTTAATAGTTCTGTGTTAGCCTTGGTTCACTACGCCTGAGCCAGACAGGTGTAGGTTCAAGTCCTACTCTAGAAACCTGAGCAGAAAACCCTCGGCTGACATTTCACCGCAGTAGTGAGAGAGTACTGCACCTGTAAGATTTACTATTGGATGAATGCTGAAGATTAACATCATCTATACAGTTAATCTGTTCATTTACAAAGTATAATAAAGTATTTAGACTACTGAAATAAGCCCTTCAGCTAAACAGGCCAATAGTGGTGTTTAGTCCTCCTGACTGAATCCTTTAAGCAGTTCCTTCTATTCCTTTCCCCCTTGTGTATTTATCTAGCTTGCCCTTGATTGTTTCTTAGCTGTTCAACTGAATTACGCACTCCGTTTAGTGAGTTCGATACTGTATGTACTGTCTGCATAAAGATGTTTTTTTCTGAATACCCCATCAGATTTATTAGTGACAATCTTATATTTAGGGCCCCTCGTTCTAGTCTTGTCCACTCTTCTTCGGAACCAGAGAATCATATTGGACTGTAAATATCAACTCTGTTTCACTCTCCATAGATACTGCCCTACTGAGCTTCTCCAACACTTTGTTTTTGTTTCAGATCTCTAACATCCACAGTACTTTATCTGTATTTATTCCCTAAGTCTTCTCTTTGCTAGAGAAAAGAGCCCTATCATGTCAATTTTATCCTGACAGTTATGACCATTCAGTTCTAGTATCATTCTATTAATTTTTTTGCATTTTTCCAGTGCTTTCATGTCCAGTTTATATACAAAGACAGGCTGGTCCAGTAACCCACATCTAGACTGCAAATTTAATATAGTATTGCTTCTCTGTCCCTCTGTAAATGCTTTGTGTGTTCTTTTTATGGCTTTATTAATCTATGTTACATTGCTTATTGATTTGTGTATCTACATTATTAAATCTCTCTCTTTTTCTCTACTCCATTTACTCATATAAAGGCATATAAGCCTTCCTTATTCTTTCTGCAAAAGTGTGAACCTCACATTTATCAAGATTGTGTTCCTTTATTTTGTCACATACCTCCTTTGTATTAACTACACAATTCAATTGTGTCATTCACAAATTTTGAAGTTACACTTCTGATTCCAGAATCAAAATCATTGATGTAAATCATGAACAATGGTCTCAGCACCAATCCCTGTGGAGTACCACTTCCCATCATTTCCAGTCTGAGTAATTACCTGTAATCCCTATTCCATTTTCTACCTTACGATCCTTTCGGTTACCGGTTCCCCGATGCTACATTTTCTCATCTTGATCATAAGCCTACAGTATCAAAGACTTTTTGAAAATCCAAATGTACAATGTTTTTTTTCTGCATCACCAACTTCTCAGAGGCAATTAGATATGATCAATAATCGCTGCCCTAACCAAAAATGCCCACATACCAAGAAAAGTTTCTTCTTTAAACTGACATAATAAATCTTTTCATGCAACAGGTGGTTAAGCTTTGAAATCGCTGCTTGAGAGGGTGGAGGCAAATTCAGTTGAAGCATTCAAAAAGAAATTAGACTGTTACCTAATAAGGAAAAATGTGCTGAATTATGGGCAGAAGATGGGGGAATGGACTTGGTGAATTGCTAATTTTGCTGGTGCAGACACAATGGGCCAAATAGCCTCTTTCTGGACTGTAACAATCCAGTGATTCTGCAATCCACAATGGCAATTTGTCCATATGATAGTTTTCAGTCAACAGGAAAAGCACAGTTCAAACAAAACACATCTCTTTTCAGATCAAACCAGCCACATCCCAGGGCATGAGATGAAGATGCTTCCCTTTGGAGGCACTTTGTAGCTAGCTGGGAACTGAACACGTTCCAATCCACGGTCTTAAAGCTGCTGATTTATTTACTGTGACTGAACAAAATCACTTATCAACAAAATGAATCTGATGCATTTAGAACTTTTGTGTAATGACAGCTTTTTCTGATGTATAATGTCCTGAAAGTATCATATCTTCCAAAATTGCAGTTTATTCATTGATTTAAATTGTTTTACAAAAAGTGAAGCTTTCAGAAGGATGGCTGTATAAGTATCAAAACTCTGGCAAATGCAGACATGTCTATCCCCTTCCTACCAAATTCAGTCGATTTGAAAGGACCCATTGACAGAGAGGATGGATAAGCTTAAACTGGTTTAAAACATAAAGTAAGAGGGTTAGAGCAATTTGACTGCCAAAAAAAAGCAGTTTACAACCCTGGGCAGTATTAGTAATAGTGCCTTAGAAAGCTGATCAAGATGCTACAGGAAAGATAATGGGGCTATGAAGAAAACAATCCCTCCTTTTTTTGTCCCAGCCTAATCTGGTTTCAGATGAAGTTTCATTGTCTCTCATGCCCAGCCAATAAAGCTTATGGTGATGGAGCAGCAACTTTTTTGAAAATTTATTTGGCTGAGGGAAAGCTGATGAAGAGCACAATCATTTCACAATCAAGAGAGAAATCACAGCAGCAGTTCCTAAGTTTCAATTTACAGAAAGACTTGAAGATAACAACAAAACACAGCTTTATTGCTACTAGATCTTAGTCATTTGTCAGCAGTCAGCTGTTAAAACAAAGTTTGGTATCAGTCAAACCCAGTCGTTTGTTACAGTCATAAATGTGAAAAGGCATTAACATGTACTACTCAGAGTAAAAAGTGACAGCAAGGTTAAGATTATAGGCAGGAAAATGTAGAATTTTTCAGTCAGGAAGACCTAGATTTAGAAGCTGCTGAGCTGTGTGTGGGATTTCTGTTTATACTGTTGTTTTAAAAATATGAAGTTTCTCTACATATCCATTACAAGACTACTTATATTGCTAAATACAATGCTAGATATGCTTCATTCCATTAATGATCCAACGCAAGAAAAAGTTGGGAAAATTTCTGAAATTCGTCTGGGCATGATTATCAGGCAGTTATGCCTAAAAGTTCCACTAGGCAGCATGTGTTTCATGGCCTTAAAAAGCCTTAGATTGCAGGTGGGAAGCTCACTGCCCCTTTATATTGGAGTAAGCACAAGAAAAGGCAACCAGGGTCCACACCTTCAACTGAATATGCACAGTTAATGAGTCCAGCGCCTGTTTGAGGCCTTCTGCCTCTCTGCTCCTATGATGCTGCTTGGCCTGCTGTGTTCATCCAGCCCTGCACCTTGTTGTCTCGGATTCTCCAGCATCTGCAGTTCCTACTATCTCTGCAGTATAGGGTTGCCTTTTTCAGGAAAATCAGGTCTACGTATGGCCTGAGGCAGTCCTTGAAGGAACAACCTCCACCCTCCCAAATTCCAAACGCTGTTCATGTTTCCAGCCCTCTTCAGGGAGTCACATAAGATCCATTCATTTAGGTATGGAGATTAACTCCTGGAATGCTCCAATTTCTGGACCATATTCATGATCATGTTTATTTTCCATTTCTAAGCTGTATTATATCATCCAATTAGAGTTGTAAAAGTGCGCATGCTAAATAAACAGGAGCATTTAATAATCAGCACTTTTCCTGTTTGAGCTTTAACACATTGATTTCAGCAAATAATCAACCCATGCCAGGGATTTTAAACCTTTGACAATGTTTTGATCAAAAGAAAATTGAATATTAACAACAGGATAATTAATGCTTTCTTGTGTTTTCTAATTTCACAATCTATTTTTATAATCAATGTAAATATTTCATGAATTTACAGACCTCCATGTCAACTTAAAATGTTCACAGTTTATATTTTGGTATTTTCAATTTATAAATCATTCAATCATGTGGACACAAAGCTGTGCAATTTTGTGATACCATACTACCTTTTGAGTTTTCTTCATCTGTACAGTGTTGGTTTAGAAAGGCACACTATCCAACACTGTGAAGTCCATGATACAGAAGCATAAATTATCTCAGATGGAGTGAAGATATTGTCCTTCACTATTTGCATTCCAGTGTCTGTCTGATGCTTTATTAAACTTTTTTAATACACATTCCATTCATTTGTTAGATTGTAATAGATAAAACCTCAAACCATTCCGTTTGACAAAGCTCTTAGCTACTTGAAAGATGAAACCCAAGGCTAAAGTGTAGAGTAACTGGCACCTATTCAATAATCAAAAGGGTAACGGACTTTTCAAACCAGTGCTTAAGATGTAAACAGAAAGCCTTCAGATGAAAAGGAGTGCAGTTTTGAAATGGTGAATTATTCAGACAGCTTTATACTTTAGTTGATGTAAATAAACAAGACTGACTTCAGTGCTGTTTTCTGATTCTGCCCTATTCAGGTCTTCATGCCATAACATGACCAGTGACATGGGAAGTGAACTTGGGTTCAATGCCTATGCTGCAGCCCTGACCGCTGACCCTTTGGCTTGGACCCAGGCAGGTAAGAGACTTTGACTGATATAAAAATGTACAACAAAAAATTTATAAACAAACATGCCCTCACACCTGAAAGCTTTGCGATTAGGTTTTTGAATGAATAAAAAGTGAGAATTTAGAAAAAATGTGTAGAAATGTTCAGAGGGTGATGGTAATATATTTATCAAGTTAGAATTTAAAACATTTTAAATGTACTATAGGCCTTTAATTCTTGTATAGTTTCATTTTAATGCCAAGTAACAAGCATTTTACAATCCAGTGAATTGTGATATTTTAGAATAACCCCTAAGCTTTCAATCTTTGCAATTAAAGCATTTCTTTTAAATATTGGTATTTTCATTTAATTAAAACTACTGCATTTGTTTTTAAATATAATAACCGTTAATTTATGAATGGAATACAATGCTAATATAATGCCATTTTAAGACAATTATAATACCTTGTGTATTTTTAAGGGAATTATTTTGATGGAGAAGGAGAGCCACAGGTAAGATTTTTTTTAAGTTTTGTGTATATACAAGAAAATATTTAAAATAAAAACCTGGCAGCTGAAAGTAAATTTCAGGACCATCAGCACTCAAGTAAGAGAAAACTAGCTCGAGTTCCAGGTAGAAATCTTTTGAGTTTTGTAACTGGCTGTAATTATATTGTTTCAATGTTGGTCATGGGCAACAGTTATATTTAGGGCAAACATTTATCTGTATCCCCTACATTTCAGCAATGCTTTCAGGTTTCTCTGGAATAGATAGTAATTATATACAAGTCCCAGTATAAAACATATTTAAATAGCTTAAAAATTTGCATTATGCAGTCTATCCACTTTTTGCTTAAATATGAGATCACACTAAATTATAGATTCCCTACAGTGGAAACCGGCCATTTGGCCGTCATGCCAACACCGACCCTCCGAATAGCATTCCACCCAGACTCAATGCCCTCCCCTTCCCCATAACCCTGCATTCCACATGGTTAATCCACCTAGCCTGCACATCCCTGGACACTGCAGGGCAAGTTAGCATGGCCAATCGACCTAACCTGCAAATCTTTGGACTGTGGGAGGAAACCAGAGTTCCTGGAGTAAACCCATGCACATGGGGAGAATGTGCAAACTCCATGCAGACAGTCACCTGAGGGTGGAATCAAACCCGGGTCCCTGCCACTGTAAAGCAGCAATACTAACCACTGAACCACCATGCCACCCTAATCTTACTTTCCCTAATTTGTGCACACATCTACACACTGAATAGGCTCAATAGTCTACTCTTTCTCCCATAAAACCGGAAAGTAATCATTTGTTTCATTTGTTTAGATCAGAACTAATAGAGTTAATTGAATGTTTTGTTTCCTGAGTTAAATGTGTTTGCTTTTTTTGCAGATTATTGTCAGATATATGATTCCTAAAACATATTTGTTTGGAAAAATTATGTCTGAAGTTAATTTCCATCTGTCTCTGTTCCATTTACATTTGAAATCTATTTTGGAAGAATGGCAAGATGCAGAAGAACCTGCATTGACATAGTTGAACTGATGGATTGTATCAAAAAATAGTGTTTAAAATCTCTTTCAGACCCAAAATGAGCATGGTACATTTATAGAATGCAATAATTATGTCACTTTCACTTCAATGTGAAGCTCTTTTGGGTGCGCGTTGGAACAATAGTGGCAGTGTCTCTTGATTCATTACTGATCCGAATCCCAAGCATAACAAATCCAATATTGGAAACCCCCACCCATGTCATTTTACACTAGTCTGAGATCCCACTGACTGCAGTGAAATTTCAGGCTCATGTGAAACCATGTTTTAGAAATTATTCTAATGCAAGTAGGAGCCACTCCTAATATTGGCAATTGACCATGCTGCGAATGGAGTTCTTCAAATGTATTCAGCTTCATATGCACCATCTCAGTGCTAAATATAATTCTGTTACTCTGTTCTTCTAAGTGTACACAGCAATCACACAGACACTGGATAAGACTGATCCCTTCAAATATTTGAAGCAACATGACCATTTTTATTAGATTTGGTGCAAATGAACAGTGTGGATTATTTGGAAACTTCTCATATTAACATTTATTAAGGTAGCAATTTATGTAATTTAGTTGCACATTAATATTAATCAGTTATTTTGCCATTTTTACAATTATTTAAAATGTGTTCTTCCTTTGCAGGAACTTGAAAACAACAGCACTCTGAAAGTGATACACTTTGGTCTAGTGTGAAATGCAATTTTGGTTTCTAAATTGCATGGTAGACAAAGTGTAATACCACTTAATTACCATTATGTTTGTCTAAATATTATCATAAAACCCAGGTAATGCAGAAAATGTTGCAACAGTTCAAAAAAAGTGAATAAATCTTTTACTCTTAACCTTCCATTGCTTCTGTTCTACAGTCATATTGATAACAGGTAGGCCTATTTGATACACTTCTTTAGATGATGAATTTTTTAATATATTCTTGTATAAGGTAAAAGTTATTTCATTATGCTGCTACAGTTGAATTACTTACACTTCATTCAGTAAATTCTCTCTATAGCCACAAAAAAGAACCATAAGATTTGGATTCACATAACCAGAAAATTGTAAATGTTCTTGTAGCTCATTGTTTATAATAGGAGCAAAGTTCATAATGGACAGAATTTATTACGTTGTGACTTCAAATGTCAAGGAATTTATACCCTTTCATTATCCATTTATCTTATTTGTCCATAATAATAACATTTTGTACATACAAATTAGGAGCAGGAGTTGGCCATTCAGCCCCTCATGCCTGCTGCACCATTCAATAAGACCATGGCAGATCTGATCGTGACCTCAACTCAACTTTCCTGCTTTGACTCCCTTGTTAATCTAGAATCTGTCTAACTCAGTCTTAAAAATATTCAATGTGATCCAGTCTCCACCACTGTCTGGGGAAGAAAATTCCATAGCCAAACTACCATCAAAGAGAAAACTGTGTCTACTAGTTCTAATCTCTCCCATAAAGGGAAACATCCTTACAGCATCTATCCTGTTAAGTCCTCTCAGGTTCTTATTTATACAAGGTGCTCCAGCTGTGGTTTCACCAATGTCCTATACAACTGTAACAAAATGTCCCTACTTGTATGTTCCATTCTTCTTGTAATGATGACAACATTCCATTTGCCTTCCTGATCACATGCTGCCCTTGCACACCAACTTTTTCTGATTCCTGTACCGGGCACCCAGATCCCTCTGTGCATAAGAGTTCAGCAATCCTTCTCCATTTAAATAATATGCTGCTTTTCTATTCTTCCTGCCTGAATGAACAAGTTCATATTTTCCCAAATTATACAACGTCATCTGTCAAGATTTTACCTACTCGTTTAATCCGCCTATATGTTTTTGCATAGCCCTTCTGTCCCCTTCCCAACCTGTCTATCTTTGTTTTAACTATTTTCTTTATGCAGTGATTCCAAACAAGGTTGTCATTAGAAATACCACTATTCTTTTCTGTTGAATTTAAATTCAGGTTATTTTGAAAAAGATGCCTTTTCTTTAATACAGCAAAATTCTCATTGCATTTTGAGAATAAGCTGTTTGTAGCAATGCCTTGACTTTAAACACAAAATACACGCTTTATCTACAAGAACTGTTTTTGTCCACTTCACTCATGGCTTCTGTCAAAACTGATGATGGCCTGTATGAGGGATTAATCTAGCATCAATCAGTGGTGTATAATCCTTCATGCATAGCATTTTTCTTTGCTTTGTATGTTAAGAGGATTTGAGTTTAAAATGCATAAATTGATGCAAAAAATCTGCATAAGATCAAAATTAGTTCATTTCTCAAAGTTTTTCTGTTCATTTAGTTCCATCTATTCCAAATTTTTAAACACCGGCGTATTTATATATATATTTCAGATATAGTCATAACATAGATGAAGGACTTCAATGAGTATCCTTTCAATGTGACTGCTATTTTTGAAACTCTCAGTTAATATCCCAGTGCCTGTGATATTATCAAACTTGTTTAATGTTATTGTGTGACATGTCAAGTCTTCATATAAAGGTATGGTAGAAATGTCTTGTACGAACCAATGATGGATTTGAATGTACTCTACTATATAACTTGCAAAATATTAAAGTATAACACCCATAATAAATACTGTGTCATAAGAAAACTGTGTAAATGTTGGAAATTAGAAACATAAGACTTTCACAATATGTTAGTGAGCATCTGTACTGAGAAGAGCTGAGATGTAATGTTTTGCATATGTAATTCATCATGGGTTGTGATGGCTGAAAGGTGAACACAGGTATGCACAATTTGCAGAAGTCACCTCTGGACATTGCTCAGGTGTGGGGATGCTGACCGATGCAGAGAGCAATAAGGAACAGAACCCAAAACTAATTTCCCCCTTCCCTCGTTCAGGGATTCTGGGATAATTGTGCTGACCTACTGCCATCCTGCTTAAGATGTCCTAAATCCACGCTGAGCAAGGATCAAACCATTAACTTTTCTGACCTGTACTGCTTAGTGCTGTGTACCAACTGAGCCAGTATTGACATAAATGTGTCAGCTCATATGATTACCTGAAGTATGCTCAAACCTATAATATTCTGCTCAGAAGTTGGGAATGTTATCGATCGGCCACTGTTTACTGCACAGGCATACTGCTGATGTTTAACCTGTTAAAATTACACAGCATGACATCAGAGTGCAGACAAGCCTCAAACTAGAACCACCTTAACTATCAGTATGATGTTATACAGAGGAATCTGGAACCATCGCTACTTTTAACAGTTTACCCCTTCAGGTTGTACTAGGATGGCTGATCACATATTGACACTGACCTTACTCTGAGAGGAGGTTGATGCACTGGCCTGACAGCATTGTGGGCGTCCATTGCCAAGTTTGCCACCTCAGAGCCACCCGCGCCTTAAAGACAGTTCACATGTGTAGCTGAGATGACAAGGTGTAGAGCTGGATGAACACAGCAGGCCAAGCAGCATCAGAGGAGCAGGAAAGCTGACATTTCGGGTCTGGACCCTTCTTCAGAAATCACATGTGTAGCTGTTAGTTTGAGACGAAATGCATTTTGCACTTTAATGTGATGAGTATGGTATTGAGGCATAAAAGAGCATTCTATTTTGGACTATTTGGTTAGCATTGTTTCCAGTTTTGATTTCTAATGTCAGTTACAAAGAATTTTCTGGGACTTTAAAGGGAGAATTAGTACAAAAAGTCTTTACGCACAGCCTTGATGAAAACTGTGACGCGAGAAAATAAAATCTGTCTTAATTTCACTGAAGCTCTGTGTGCCCAGAATATCAAAATACACCTGGATAAAAATATTATCTCTTGTTGTATCAAAACTCATCTCATCCATGATACCCAACTTCCCACTGAACTGTGACAAAGTTGGATAGATTTTGCACAGCAGGATTTGGAATAAGTTTACTTTGATTCTGGCAATCTGTGGCAAGGCAGCTGGTGAGCCCAGATGGTGGTTAGCAGCATGATGTCTGGAGAGCAGGACTGGACTCTAGTGGTGAAACAGCATCACAGAGGAGGGAGAACGAGCACAGTACGGATAAGATCGAGCCTTTGTGGGGAAGCCCAGCGTGGAAGGTCTGCAGGCCCACGGCTAAAGAAGGACTGTAATTCTTTATTTTGTCGACTTTTTATACTAAGAAGAACTGTAATGTCTAACTTTTAACTTATCTCTTCATTTTTGTACTTTGTTCCTAAGATGTTGTACCTAGGTATCTTTGTACTTAGTTGGTACTGGGAATGGCGACATTGTAAACTTTTCACTGTACTCCTGTATCCCTGTACTTGAGTACACATGACAATAAAACCTAATTCTAATTCTGATGGATAGTGGTGGGTGGGGGACCACAGAGTCTGAAGGTGCTAAACAAAAATGATGAGGGTTTAATGCAGATGAAACGGGAGGGAAGTAGGAGTCAGTGTGAAATAGGTAGTCTGTGTAATGAAGATGATGTGGATTCAAAACTCTACACAAGGTGCAACAGGTTGTGAACAGTCTTATTTGGCCCAGAACAGTGACCAAGGGCAGCAATAGTTTGATGGTTCAAACCTACCAAAGCTTCGCTTGAGGAAATTAATGTCAATCAAGGTGGGATACTTTGGCCATTGACAAAATCATCAAAGATAAGATCAGTCACAGAAAACCAGCAGATGTGCTTTGTAGCTATAGTTCAAAAATCTTCGAGGAAGAGAATATGGTCCTGTCAAAACAGAGGTACCAAAATTGAGAAATCAGACAAAAAGGTGACAGTTACACCTATGAAATCATAAGAATTGATTTGGATTTCTAGATTCTGCAGCTTTTCTCCACCTGGGTAAATAGTTGGGGACACAGCCAGTTCTCAGTGCAAGTTATAATCAGTGTCAGAAGCAAATTCCCCAGATGCCAATGGAATCAATTATGAATACAGTTTTTTATGCATGTAGTGGTCAAATAATGTCAAAACCTTGCGCTGAGGAGAAAGTAACTCAGCACTTATATTAAAGTGAAAGCTTACCATGTAGTACTTACAAACCCTTGATGACAGTGAAGTAGAGAACTGAGGAAAATAATGTGTTGTTTCATTGTTGTCTTCATTCAGTTCAAGGAATGTGGTTGTCAAGTGATTGTTGGCCACAGTCAGGGAAATAGAAACCTGAACTACAGAACTCACTGAATATAGTGATTTGTCACAAACTCTTGGTCATTTGCCTGAGGAATATGGTGTCAGATGGTTGGCCACTTGTAGTCAAATCTTGTCCTGAAAAGTAAACTTCAAGCAGAATTAAATTTAAAGAATCATTCAGCATGGATACAAGAATTAATGAGCCCTTTAAGTAGGTTGACTTTTCAAACCAAGCTGATGAATACTCATGGATAGTAGGAACTGCAGATGCTGGAAAATCTGAGATAACAAGGTGTAGAGCTGGATGAACACAGCAGGCCGAGCAGGAAGGCTGATGTTTCGGACCATTTCAACTCCCCCTCCCATTCCTCAGACGACATGTCCATCCTGGCCTTCCTGCAGTGCCACGACGATGCTACCTGAAGGTTGCAGGAACAGCACCTCATATTCTGCTTGGGAACCCTGCAGCCCAATGGTATCAATGTGGATTTCACAAGCTTCAAAATCTCCCCTCCCCCTAGTGCATCCCAAAACCAGCCCAGCTCGTCCCTGCCTCCCTAACCTGTTCTTCCTCCCACCTATCCCCTCCTCCCACCTCAAGCCGCACCCCCATTTCCTACCTACTAACCTCATCCCGCCCCCTTGACCTGTCCGTCCTCCCTGGACTGACCTATCCCCTTCCTAACTCCCTACCTACACTCACCTTTACTGGCTCCATCCCCGCCTCTTCGACCTGTCTGTTTCCTCTCCACCTATCCTCTCCTCTATCCCTCTTCTATCCGCCTCCCACTCTCTCCCTATTTATTTCAGAAACCCCTTCCCCTCCCCCAATTCTGATGAATACTCATGCTTCTTGATCCAAGTAATCTGAATAAAGCAGTAGCAAAGACAGCAACACAAAACAAAAATGATTCATGCACTGCAATCCTAAAACAAAAAAAAGGAAATGTTGGAAGTATTCAACAGGTCAAGCATTTCCTGCAATGAGAAAGGAATGTAGTTAGGCTTTATTGGACGACCTTTCATCAGTAGGTCTGGCAGCATCTGTGGAAGAGAGAGAGAGAAACGAAGTTAACATTTCAAATCTGATATGGCTCTTCTTTCAGAATTGGTCTGTTTTTTAGAAGTGGACTTGAAATGTTAACTCTGTTTCTCACTCCACAGCATCTGCCAGACCTGCTGAGCTTCTCCAGCACTTCCTGTTTGTATTTCAGATATACAGTACCCGCAGTATTTTGCTTTTACATCTTTTTCTAGAGGCACTCTGAGTGTCAGAAATTTGGCATTCAGAAGCAACAAGGGGAAAGCAAAGGTAAACGCAAAGCCCATAATTGATTCATTTATTGAGTGATAAAGGTGAATGATATATTATCTCATCATTTGGGAAGGTGGAATTTAAAGCAGAGGTAAAATCGATGTGTTGTTTCAATTCTGTGAAGCAATATTCCCTCTAATTACTCGATCGGTATGGCAACACATAGACTGGGTCCTCAGAGATCTGTGCACTGGCAGGTAAACTTACAGGGAATGTAACTGTGAACATAATTTGTTTTAAAGTAGAAAAGGTCAGAAAATTATCTGGAATAGTGAATGAAATAAATTGCTTCCAAGAAGGTAGTTGAGTTGAGTATCTGGTAGAATACCTGTTAACTGCTGAACTGTTTGTGAAGATGAACATTTATGACACAGAAAACAGATCAGGGGCTACTAGTTGATCTTCAACTCAGAATCAGGTTTCATTTCAGGAGAATAGTTTCACTTTGGTGCCATAGTTTTACAAGTCTCCAAGCTATGAGAGTTTGTGTTGAACTTTTTGTTTGATCATTAATGGGAGGTGTGCTTTCTGGGGTGAAGGGACATCCATAGTGCTGTTGAGGAAGGGAGTTCCAGGATTATAGCCCAATGACACTGAAGGAACAGCAATATATTTCCAAGTCAGGATGGGAAGTGGCATGGAGGGGATCTTTTAGGTAGTGGTACTCCATGAATTTATTGCCCTTGTCCTTGTAGTATTGGGGGAACCTTGGTCAGTTACTGCAGTGCATCTGTACATCAGTGGTGAAGGGAGTCAAGGTTGAAGGTGATGGATGGGGTTTCAGGCAAGCATGGGCTGATTTTTCTGGGTAGACGTCAAGCTTCTTGAATGTTTGTTGAAGCTGTACCCATTCATGCAAATGGAAGATATTCCATCATAATCCTGACTTGTGCTTTGTAGATGATGGGCAAGGTTTGGGGAGTCAGGAGGTGAGTTACTCGCTGCAGTATTCCTAGCCTCTGAACTGTATTTGTGGTCACAGTATTTGTATGGCTAGCCTAGTTCATTTTCTGGTCAATGGTAAGACCCCCAGGTTGTTGATAATAAGGAATTTAGTGATATGAGTGCCATTGAACATTAAGTGGAGATTCTCCTCTTTTTATTTGTTCATGGGATATAGGTTTTGCTGCTTGGCCAGAATTTATTGCCTATCCCTAGATGCCCAGAGACTAATCAGAGTCAACCACAGTACTGTAGGTTAGGAGTCAGTATGGAACCAGGCCGGGTAAGGAAGATAGATTTCCTTCCCTAAAGGATGTTAATGAATCAGATGCGTTTTTACAAAAATCAACAATAGCTTTATGGTCACTGTTAGAAGTTTTTTTTAAATTATTGAATTCAAATTTCACCATTAGCCATGTTGGGATTTGAACCCCTGTGCTTAGAACATTAGCCTGGTTTCTGGCTTATTAAGCTGTTACTACTATACATTACTACTATACCTCCACCTCCTTATTCTTGTTGAAGATGGTTATTTGTAATGGCACTTATTGCTTGCTATTTTCCAGCCCAAGCCTGGATGTTGTCCAAATCTTGTTGGATATGTAAGTGACTGGTTCAGTGTCTGAGGAATCACAAATTGTGCTGAACGTTGTACAATCATCAGCAAACATCCCACTTCTGACTTTATGATGGATGAATTGTCATTGATGAAGCAGCCAAAGACTGCCTAGGAGCCTATCCTGAGGAACTCCTGCAGAGATGTCCTGGAACTCAGGTGACTGATCTCCAATAATCCACAATCGTCTTCCTTTGCACAAGATGTGATTCCAACCAGCAGATTCCCCCGATTCCCATTGAAAGCAGTTTTGCTACAATTTACTTGATGCCACACCCAATCAAATGCTGCCATGATATCAAGGGCAGACACTCCCACCTCACCTCACCTCAGGAATTTAGCTCATTTTTCAATGTTTGAACCAAAATTGTAATGAGTTCAGGGGTTGAATGTCTCTGGCAGAACTTGAACTGGGCATTAGTGAACAAGGGCTATTCCTTTTCAAGTGTTGCTTGATAGCACTGTTAACGATGCAACAAACATCCTTTGAGTCATGGAATGGGAAACCTGGTAATCTACAAACAAATTTCTTCAGCCCCCCCCCCCAGTCTTTGAATGGTAAACTTTTCAGTTACTGCAACAAGAGTGGTCCTTACTAACCAGGTTCAGGAGAAACCAGGGCCTTGTGCAGCCAACCTCCACATTGAGGTTTCCATGTAAACCCCATATATATGCGTGGAGAGACCCAAACAATGCTACACACATATATATTTAAAAGAAATAACAGTGATCACCCAGTAAGAATTTAAAGATTCATGTAATCATTTGGTCCTACAGAACATGAGCGTTGCCAAAACGATTACACAATTTGTGTCTTTCTTGTGCATTTCTCCTGATGCATGAAAGATCAATGTCAAAGGAAAACAACAATTGTATGAGAGCCTAGTGCTGATTGGTTGGCGAGAGGACCGTGATTGGTAAAGGTATTGCCTTGATCAATGCACCAGTTAGATGATGATTGACAGTTAACCGCCAAGCTTTGTTTAAATTTTACACCAGGCAAGTTGGCTCAAATTGGTCAAGGCATTGACCTGATAAACAGCTATCACCCGTTTTATTGAGGTGAAACGGATTTAGTGTGTTCATGTTCTATGTATCTGTTTGTTCTGTATGCAAAGAACCTTTTGTATTACTATATGTCCAAATATACCACACTGTGAGCTTGTCTGACAATGCTAAATTATTGTCAGCATAATTCTTTACACACCTCAGGATGATCCAACAAATGTTGTCATGTTTGCTCTGTGATTAAACTGGCAACCAAATTGGGATTGACAGTTGGGGTCACTGTGTGGCATACAGGGGTGTATTGAGATGTACCAG